ATGGCACATAACAACAACAACAACAACAACATTTGAATTTTGTAAATAAACTTGTAGAAAAATTTTTTAAAAATTAAAAATTATAAAAAAATCCCAAACAAATGAGAGATTGTAATCTCCCATCCTGAAAGGCTGACATTAGGGATGAACAAAGTGAAAGAATTTCAGTCTCTCTCTTGTTAGGTATTGTCTAGTCACATGTGAATCACAGTGACCCTAAAAACAATACATATAAACCTAACCCTGTCTGTGTCGTGCACATGCGCTCCCCCTTGTTCAATCACCACTGCAATCACTGTGCCAAGGCGTCGCATGGAGGCCCTTCTTCCTTTTTCATTGACTCAGTTTTCCAAGCATGATATCTTTTCTAATGGCTTGTGCCTCGTGACAAGATGCCCAAAGTATGTGTCAGAGTCTTTTGAGAATTCTTGCCACAGCATCCTGTGAACTCATTAGTGTCTGTGGTCTTTATCAGCTGTCATTTACAGAGTCAAACTGTGAAGACAACACTTCTCGCAGATCTGCCTCTGAAAGGGATGAAATGAAATTCCGAAAGACAATGGTAAAACGCACCATCTCCTTGCTAAATAAGGAGATGGGGCACCTTACTGCGCCTACTATCCTTGCTACAAAGATAGAGGCAAGGCCTTAGCCTAAGATACAAAAAAATGCAGGAAGCTTGGAAGCTAACACTGTTCCTATAACTGCACCGAAAATCTGAAATACCTCCTACCCATTTTTCAGGGTTGATGTGAGGATCACTTGAGAAATTCCAGATTGCTGTTGTTATGTGCCATTGAGTCATTTGCGACTCATAGCTACCCTATGTAGAAGAGCCCTAAACGCCTATCACTCTATCCTATGCCAACCTCGCTATCTCAAACACATTCATTCCCACCACTCCACTTACACAATCGATCCATCTCATTGAGGGTCTTCCTCTCCTGCCCATGCCCAAAGTATTTCAGATGAAGCTACAGAATCCTTGACTCCAGGGAACATTCTGGCTTCACCCTCTCCAGGACAAACCTGTTTGTTCTCCTAGCAGTCCATGGTATATTCAACGCTCTTCTCCAGCACCACA